AACTTTACGCCCTTGGCCCTGGGCCCCGAGCAACAGCACGCGGAAGAGTTCGGACCCCACTCCGGCTGGAGGAGGGACATCAACGCGGTGGCCGACGCCGCGTGTGGGGAGGCGGTGAGGGAGGCCCTCGCGGCACTCCCCCCGTGGGACCCAGGGGAGGCAGATGACCTCACCAGGGAGGTCTCGCAGTACCTCCAGCGCAAGGCTGAGGTTCTCCTCACCTCTTCTGAACGCCCACCCTGGGAGGAAGGGGAGGAGCCCCCTCCCAGGAAAAAATTGTCGGCCAGCACCAAGGTCAACAAGCGCCAGCCGAACCAGCACCGCCCTGCTGCCAATGGGGGCCCGAACAAGCGTGAGAGAATCCGCACTATGGTGGCCACAGGAGCAGGCGGGCACGACTGGGTGGTCACATCAGAGAATAAGAACAACTTGTTGGCGTCGTGCAAGCGCTGCACACTTTTTGTGCAACAAGTTCACAAGCCAGCCATTTTTGCCCGCATCGAAGCCCACCCATGTTTGGGTAGGGAGCAGGCTTTACCTGAGGGAGCTGGGGTGCACCCCTCCCACAGCATGGCCAATGTCGGTCGTGCCTGGATCTGTAGACACTGCTTTATTCAGTTATGGGTAGCCTATGAAAAACTCCCCAAAGGCGTTGCACAGCAGTGCCGGCCCTCTCGAAAGCAGGCACGGGGCGGAGGACAGTTAGCTCCATACCTCCCCCGCGAGATTCGACCGGACTGGCTCCCATCGGAGCAGCCGTCCATCGTTCCTCCTCGGGCAAAAAACAGGTTTCGAGCTAAGTCACAGTCCCCCGCCCGACAGGAGCCACCCAAACTGCACAGCTTCCTCACCACCCCTCCCAAAGCTGACCCTGCAATAGCCCACGTGCCGCAGGACTCGGGCCCAAGCAAGGTCGGCAGTAAGCAACAGCACAGCCAGCAGCCTGACACCTCAAGCCCTGAGTGTAGCCTAGGCAAGGCACAGGCCTCTAGCTCTTCCTGTCCCCTAGCGTCCTCTCAGGCTCGCCTCGGCCACAGACCCGCCCCACTAGGCCCTCCTCCTTCGCACCCCAGGGTAAGTAGAAGGGACGAGGGTACCTCTCCCATCACCAGGTTCTTTCAGCCATGGCCTGGGATTGGGAGTGGGAGTGGGACTACCACTCCCACGAATGGCGGTGGCACTGGACATGGCGCCCAGACGACAACAGCTGGGGCAGTGGCAGCACCACTCCCCCTCTTTTGAGGCGTACTGGACCGGAGAAACAGGGTCCACCCGCTCCGGTCCAAGCCCCTCCGACCCTGCCCAAAACCAGGCCCAAGGCAAAGGGCAAGGGCAGGGCAGCCAAGAAGTAGCCCCGGACACTGGGGGCTCCAGCACGGGGGCCCTAGGTCGCCCCGCACCCCGAAGGGGCAGGTCGCAGGGCCCTACCAGGCCCTCGGCCATGCGCAAAGACAAGGAGCTAGAGGAGGCCTACCAGCGGGTCACCGCAAACCGTGCAGCTACCAAGCCCGATGCTCCACCTTTCTCGCTCCAGCTTCCTTAGAAATAGGTCGCGACCCCCCAAGTCGGTTCGAAAGGCGAAAGGGGATGGGAAAAATCGGGCTGACGACACGCCTGCTACAAAGGAGGAGGCTCCTCCTGGGGTGAGGCCTCCTCCCCC